TGGCCTGGGGCCCCCCGTGTGCCAGCTGGCCCGCCTGTGCCGTGAGGGCCACTGGCAGGAGGCCCGTGACCTGCAGCATCGGCTCATTGAGCCCAACACAGCGGTGAGCCAGCAGCATCCCCCAGGATGCTGTAGGGTGGGGGTGCCAGGCCATGGCAGAACTAGGGGTTGGCAAATGATGGATGTCTCTGGGGGTGGCATGGCGGGGGACAGGATGACAGAGCACCCGGCCGGCGAGCTAAGCCAGGCTGGAGGTAGTGGGGTGGGAAATGCCAGCCCTGCCATTCCACGAACAGCGCAAACACTGGCAGTGGGTGCCTGCCTGACCCACTGCAGGAGCCTTGCTGGATATTTATAGGCAGTGATGGGAGGAAGAACTGCTCCTCCCTGGTGCCCCACCCCACTGCAGATACTTCGCTGAGGGTTGCAGCCACCCCACACCCTGCCCAGCCTTACAGGCCCACAAGCAGCTGGAGCAGGAGCCCACGGAGCAGGCTGCTCTGTCCCACTGAAGCCGGCAAGCCCCGCACCCTCTCTCCTGCAGGTCACCCGCCGGTTCGGGATCCCAGGACTGAAGAAGGCCATGGAGTGGTTTGGCTACTACGGGGGTCCCTGCCGTGCACCCCTGGCCCCACTGAGCCCTGCTCAGATTGAAGAGCTCAGGAGCACCTTCAGTGCCAATGGCTGGTTGTGAGGGGTCCCCCCTGCCTCTTTCCACACTGGGAAGGCATGGGAGCCAGCGACCCTCAGAGCTGGGGATGTGGTGGGGACACCGGGACATGGCCAGGAGAAAGCCACCCACCTTGCTCCTTCCTGCTGGACAGGACTGCCCTGGGCAGAGTGGGTGGTGGGGACACCTCTGGCCACCCTTGTGTCCCCTGGCCTGGGCATGCACCTGGCCTTGACAGCCCCCAGAGTCCCACTGTCCCTACCTGAGAAGAGATGGATCACGGCACCGTGAGCTGCGAATAAACCTGCTGCCCCCTGTCTGCATCTGCAGTCCTACCCACACAAGCAGCCCTCCACCTGGTCCCTGCTCCCAGCAAAAAGGACATGGTCTTGAGTTTTGGCGACGTGGTTTACTCAGCTGAGGCCCGCGCAGGCGGCAGCACAAGGCAGGGTTATGGCAAGGCACGGGACCGGTGCGGGCAGAGACCAGCAGGGAGGGCACAGCCCCCGTAGCCCACTGCTGGGCTGCAAGGACTGCTGGGACCCCTGCACCATGACCAGCCATACCACACTGGGGGGAAGGTGAGCACGCAGTGGGGAGATGAAGGGTGCATGCAGGGTGCAAGATGGGGAGCTGTGTGCCCCCTGCCCACTCTGCTTGCTGCCTCACCATGCCCTTATTCCTGCCCGCCCTACCTAGGCCCCCTGCTCCAGCCCTGACACCCCACACAGCCCTGCTTGTGCCCCTCATCCCAGGCTCCAGCCGACCCTGCTCTTTGCTCGCCATCACTCCTGCCCCTCCCCCAGCGTACAGCAGACACGGACCAGGCTGGGCGTCCCCTGGTTCCCTGTGGTGGGGATGCTATGCAGACGTCCCCAAGGCAGTGGGTGGGCTGGATTGGCACAGGGATGAAGGGGTCACAGCCCATCATCTGGCCCTGAGAGCAGGCTGGGTCCTTTGGGGGTGCCATGTTATCCTGCCCAGGGCACCAGAGGGGATGGCTGGGCACCCAGAGCTGAGGGCACAGGCAATGGGGTGCCTGAGGTGCCTACCCTGACTCAGTACTAGGGTAGCAAAGCAGGCCAGGAGCTGCCCTTCTGTGGGCACGTTTCCCAGCCAGCAGCCCCCAGCTGAGGCACCCTGGTAGTGGGGTCAAGGCTCAGCCCCAGCCCCTACACCTCTGCTCCATCCTCTGCAGCAGGCTAGTAGCCCCCATGGTCCACAGCCTTCCTGGGGGGCAGAGGGACCAAGCCCCAGCAACCCTGTGACCCCACTGCTCCAGCAGGTGCCAGGGCTGTAGCCACAGAGAGAAGGCACCACGGCTACTCTGGGGCACTTGGGTGGAGAGCGGAGGGCCCTGTACCCCACAGTGGTGGGGGTTTGGCAGGGGCGGGCTTGGTTTGGGCTGAGGGCAGGGGGGCACCCAGCAGCACCGCATCCTGCTCCAGGGACAGCAGGGCCAGCCAGTGCCCAGAGCGGGGGTCCCCACTGTGGAAGGAAGGGACACAGGGCACCATCATGCTGTCAGGTTGTGGGCAGACTTGGAAGCACCCTGAGCCCTCTGGATGACAGCTGGGCACTTCTCCCGCCGCAGCAGCTTGTTGTTCTCAAAGAAGCCCTCGTTGCGGGGCACCCCGTGGGAACCGTCAGGGAAAGTCAGGAGACCTGGGGATGGGAAGGAAGGGCTGGGACTGAAGGGGCAGGGAACAGCACCCATCCAGCAGGTCAGGGCTGGAGGGACAGGGCAGGAGATGCTGGACGGGGCCATACTGAGCCGGGGCTGTAGGGGGCTGTGGCTGCCTGCACTGTGGCACCGGACACTCACCGAAGCCGTACACACGCCCGCCTTTGAACTCGCCCTCAAAGGTCATGCTGTCGCAGCGGGTGAAGACTCCAACGCCATTGAACTTTCCCTGCACAAACTCCCCCTCGTACCTGTGCGGGAGGAGCTCCTGAGGCAGCAGCTCCCCACAGTACATGGGGATGCCCGGGGGGTTGTACGCAGGGGTGCCACGCTCACCTGGAGCCATCGGAGAAGGTGAGAACGCCACAGCCATGGAAAAGCCCGTTCTCGAAGTGCCCCACATAAGTGCTGCCATCAGCAAACGTCAGCTGCCCAATGCCGTGCCTGCGACCTAGGCAAGGGCAGAAACAGGCAGTGCTGGAAGGACGGAGGCAGGGACTGCCCCAGTGTGGTGCTGGGCAGGGACACAGGGGCTGCTTGGCCCCCAGCACAGGCAGCACCATCCCCATCTGCCCCATCTCACCTTCCTTCCACTCGCCGCGGTACTCCTCCCCGTTGGAGTAAGTGAAGGAGCCTTTGGTGAGGGTCATGGCGACAGCCTCCAGCAGCGCAGGGCAAGAGCTGGCAGAGAGAGGCACCAAGGGTGGCTGCTGAGCTGGAGGAGCAGCCTGGCTCACCCAGAGCCCCTGTGTCCCCTCAGCTCGTGGAGAGACACGTCTGTGCCAGGGGCAGCTCTGCTGAGGTGCACCGCAGATGAGGAGGTGACCCCAGGAGCATGGCTGCCCTGTCCTGCATCTGAAACTCCAGCCACCAGGTTCAGGTTGCTGCCTGCCCTGATGCAGGGCTCGGGACAATGCAAGTCTGTGGGGGTCACAGCCCCATGAAATATGAGTGAGTAGCAGAAGAGGAGTGCAGCAGGAGCTGGCTGCCTCCTTCACGGCTTCCTGACAGGACCCAAAGGGATCCTGCACAGCAGAAGGCTCGGGCCAGGGGATATACTTGGCTCTGCTGAGGCAGCCTCAGAGAGAAATAAGCATTTTGGAGAGGAGACACTTGCCAGGTTGTGTTCAGTGCTGGCTCTTCAGAGGAAGTAGAGAGCTTGTGGGGTTTCCCACTCCAGCATCAAGGATGGGCAGAGCTGGCTCAACCCCCAGGCATGGAGGAGCTGCTCTCTCTAGGAGGGACAGCAGAGAGAGCACCCTGGGGCTCCAGGGCCTTGGCTACCAAGGGTTTGCAAACCTGCCTGCTGACAGTAAGCAGCCTCCAGAGTCTTGCACACCCCCAGAGCTGCTGCTCCACAGCACAGCTCTCCCCAGCACCCATGGAAGGCACCAGCATGAAGACAGCCTAGCAGGTGGGCTGGGCACTGCCTCTCCCGTGGCTCCTGGTGTGGCTCAGATGGTGCCTGCAATAAGAAGGGGCTCCCAGCTTCCAAAAGGGGTATTCCTGCTCACACTGGTCAGCACATTCCTGAAAAGAGAGGCACCGAGCCATGCTAACCGGGCAGATGTGATGCCAGGGAGCACCGCAGGCAACTTGCAAGGGCTTTGTGTCCACAGCAGAAATGGGCTCCAGCCAAGCCGAGCAGTGACTGAACAGTGCTCTCTGCCGATGGCAGAGACCAGGAGCTCAGCGCCGGCTCCTCTGTCTGCAGCCTGCCCAGTATCTCTGGGGATGCCTCCAGTGGTGCCAGGAGGAGAGGGAGCTGCTGGGGTCATCAGTGCCTGCTGCAGGGCAGGGCTTCCACCACCAGTACAGCCTGTGCCTGGACCTGCGACTGCATCCAGAGGACAGGCAGCATTTGCTCCGTGAGCAACCCAGCCTGCCCAGCAGCTGCATGTCCCCTTGCTGGCACACACACATGCCAGAGCCCTGCACCCACTGCAAGCAGGGGTGATGCATGCAGTACGGCCTGAGCCATGCACATCTCTGCTCTGAGTCCACCTGCCTAGACCACGAATCCACAGGCTGGAGCCATGCATGCGGGTGAGGGGTGCAGAACTCAGCTGGACCATGCACCCTTGGGCAATGCAGGCACACCCTGCCCGGGCCATGTACCCACGGACGATGCATGCACACCCCACCGGGTCCATGCACCCACGAAGGACATATGCATACCCCACCTGGGTAGTGTGCCATGGGGTGGTGATTGCGTCCACGGCTGACGCTTGCACACCCCACAGGGTCTATGCGCCCACGGGCGATGCAT